GAAACATTTTGGTGTTCCACGGGTCAGAAATGGCTCCGAGGGAGACAATTATCCTTTAGTCTCCTTTGCCAATTGTCTCCATCATCAAGTAGGACCACACCCTTCACTATAACGGTTCCTACAGTAGATGATAATGACACCAGTAGATCATAAGCAATCTTCAGCAATATAGCGCCGCCATCACTCTTCACCACCAGCCTCTCACCCCTCATCAGGTCAAGCCAGTTCAGCATAGCAGTAAGCCAGGTAACACCATAGTCATTCCTGGATCCTTGGTACCACCCGACGGCATCATCCCTACCTGGTCCTCCCAGACCACGACCATACCTCAATTCACACACGCAACTCTCGGGCGTGGTGCGGACAAAGTGTTATGGTTATTTTATTGAGAAATAAAATCCGCGCGAATAAAAATAACGATGCGGGTAATCCCTAAGTTGCCGTGCTATTTTTAGCTCTTCATGTTTCATATGACATATAATAGGTACAACTATGTCCAATTTCCTCAATTGATTTTGATCTTTACCGAGATATGGTTTTGACGAAAGTTTGTCAATTTTATGTAAGCTGACGTGCTGTTGGCTATATTTGTATTGAAATAAAGATATAATTAAAAAAAAACTTCTTAACAACAAGATTTTATTTGTGCGCACTAAAACGTAAATAATAATTTTACGCAAGTTCATTAAGTTAATGCAAGAAATTCTTATAATCAAAATTTCTCTAATAGTAACTGACATGACAAGAACGTAGAGCGTAAAAAACATGTGTATTTCCTCGTCTCCGATTTTCTTAATGAACTTATCCTGCATAAAATAATTACACCGGTCAACACGAATTTTGTTTCTGAGTTCCGAAAATATGATTTTGATTATTTATGCCTAAGTAATAACAAATTTATTTATTTTTTCTAAAAAGTTTGCTTTTGTAGGTGTGAAAACGAAATATTAAAAAAAAAATCTAAGGAAAATCATCCTATTTACCGGATTGTCTACTTTTAAAATATAAAAAACAAATTTAAAATTGTTTTTATCAACTTTTATTTAACAGATATATATACAAAAAAAAAATGCTTTAAAAGTGATAATTATTGGCATTTCTTTTGTGTAAGCTAGAACTTTCTCACATCAGCTTCTAAATATAGGCACTCATCATGTTCTCATTATATTGACCTTGATACCTTTGTTCAAAGTTCATTATATCTCTATGAAAACGTTCCCCTTGTTCTTCTGAATATGCCCCCAAGTTATCTTTTAATTTATCCAAGTGAGCATATGTACTTGAAAGGACATTCTGCAATCCATGAGTTTGAAGCTGTGAAGCATATCAGCAATAAGCTCTTTATAATTGTCAGCCCTTCTATTGCCAAGAAAGCCATGAACCACTGCTTTATGGCTAAGCCATGCCAGTTTTTCGTGGGAATTCAGTAACTTTAAGAATTGTTCACTGGCCATTATTTCCTTTATTTGTCGACCGACGAAAATACCAGCTTCAATTAAAGCCTCTGACAACTTTAGAAAAAATGATTTTAAATATCGAAAAGCTTTAGAGTCTTGACGAACAGCCTTCTCAAACTGTTTAATGATACCTAATTTTATGTGTAGCTTCCAGCATTAAAACATATTCGGGCTTAACAATTGGTTCACGTTTAACTCTATGTTTTCCTTTTTTAAGCTTGGTTCGTGAGGGTCATGAGTGCTGTTGGTAGTGAAGTGCATCGGCTCTACTATCCCATAAGCAAAAGTAACACTAATACTTTGTACACCAGGAAACCAACCAAATCCCCTATTAATGCCCAAGCATACTCTTCATACTTTAAAAATTAAAAGTAATTTTCTTTCTACATAACAGAATGAACCAGAGGAAGAGATGGAAATTTATTTCCATTATGACGAAGAACTACTTTTAAGCTTCTTGTAGAGCTATCGATAAATAAACGCCATTCAGAGGGAATAAACGAGTTACCATTGCATCGAACAAGCCTTTCTGGCAAATTCTGCCAAAATTTATTTTTTTCAAAGCAAACTTTTATTATTGTGAAAAGTGTTTTTGAATATTTTTCAAAATAGAAAATCAGACAATATTCATTAAAAAGAAAAAAATATATATTTTACCGGTGTTATTTATGATTTAGTGCATACTAATAAAGGCTTGTTTTTAAAAAACTTTTTTAATATCTATTTTTATTTCAATACAAATACTTTTTAAATTATATTTTATTTTTTCTTTTCTCATTCTATTAATTTCTGACATAGCGTTGCTCATAAAGACGGATCTAAAGAGCCCGAACACGATGCAGATGCATTATTTCATTGATAAGTTCCTTTGACCACATTCCGGCTCCATCATCACCAGACCTTGGTCTGAAAAGCATCCTGTCCCCATAGACCGATAAAAGGAGCCCAAAAACGATGCATTTGCGTCATTCATCACTTAGTTACTATTACCACCTTCCGACTCCATCGTCATATCAACTTACTGACATCATAAGTCATCTTACTTACATATCTATGCAAAATTTCAAATTATTGGACAATTAAAAGTGGGTCAAATTTGAGTTCCAAGATTTGCTAACTATATATATACTAACAAGAAAAGTGACATAAAAGCCCGTAAAAAAGATAATATCGATTCATTAATCATTTCTATTGCAAGCGTTTAGCCATTCTGAAATGACTATATGAAATTGACTTCTTCTCTAGAAGCCTACTTTGAATATTTCCTACTTAGCAAACATCCAATTTCGCATTTAGCCTACTAGCAAAATACCAACCAACAAGGAATAATCAAAGAGCAGACAAAAAGTATAAACCTATTCATTGCATTACCAAAGAAGGAGCAATTTTAATTGGACTGAAATGATGGAACACAGCAATGAAGTGTTAACTTCAGAGTTAATGGTGACATATAGAAAATTAAAGTTAATTCATTGTATACTTTATGTTTAATGAAAAATTCATTTTACAAAATTCTGATATTATCTTTAATGGAAAATAATACAAATAAAAAAATAATGAAAAACTATTTGTAAATGCATTACATCAAAATATTATATCTAGGTATGAACATAATCTACTCAATAAAAATATTTTTTTAATTGTGTATTGAGAACATAAACATAATATTATAAATCATTTTCTAAAAAGAATTTATCTCAAATATATTGCATCTATTCTGCATATCCACAAACTATAAAGACAGGGGTTGATCACTTTATAGAAAACTATTATTTTTTTTCTTGGCTCTATTTGCAACAGTAGTATGCATTTTTAAATCAAAAACATGAATTATAAATGTGGAAAATTTTGAACTAAAGTATGAACCACTTCGATATTATGGATTATAATATTTACTTTATAACATTCGGCTATTCTTTACGTTTAATTTATTGGAATATAATAATTATAATATGGATAATCTCAATGTCTTTCTTTATCTACTCAATAAATCAAATTAATCATTTGTAAAGTTTTAATATAAACCGAATAAATAAAATCAAATATAAAATCATATTATTATAACATGATGAGATTTCTTAATCAAGTCAACAGAATAAACCTTCTATGCTTAGTAGGCAACTAGCTGAATTAGAGATTGCATTTACAGCCTACCTTGGTTATTAAAGACTATTTATCAAGTGACCCCAATAAAATTTTGCCCTTCTTGTCAGCTAGGCGGACGACTTTGTTATTTTAAATAACTTATATTACCGAGATATTTAAATTTAGCTTCGTTTGTTCTGGAGCGCTGATATCTACAATATCATTACGTGCCAATATTTCTTGCATTGTTCATATTTGTAAATGTTTACTAAAATCATAATCACCAAGTAATTTTTAAAGAAAGTCCATTGAAAAACAGTTTTTAGTAAATCTGTAATTTAATCGCTAATTAAGCTAACTGCCTAGATAAAAAATATCCTACGGGTATAAAAGGAATTTATAATTCTAATGTTGTTCAAAAAAGAATCTATTTATAGAAAATTACATCAAATAAGTGTATACCCATAACTTAACATTATAAGTGGTATCGTTTTTACAAATATGAATTTAGAGGAATGATGTAACATAAAAATATCATTGCATTATATTTGTTCTGCAAATTTCGGTGTTCATAGTTAATTAAAAAAATGCTGCCTGCATGTTTGGTAAATATATATCGACGCTAGAAAGCAAACACGTAGTAACCCGCTAAACCAAAATTGTTCTTCAGAGCAAAAAAACTTTTATTTCTTTCGATAAAAAATCCCTATAAATGTCCATGGTAACAAATAAAGTGTTCCTTAGTCAATATACACCGAAATAAGATTTTTTTTTTTTTGGAAAAATATAAAGATTTTCCACTCTAAATATCCATTTTAGTTTTGCGGGTTACAACGTGTTTGCTTTCCAGCGTCGATATTAGTCATGTGGTTAAGAGCTTATTTTGGTTTGCATGAAATACTTTTTTGGTAAAAATAATGTATGTACAAGTGATAAGTATCAGAACCAAGTTTACATTTGGAACGACACATCTTAAATAAGAAAAGTTGCCATCTTCCCAGTATTAGCTACTATAGATATTCGTAAATCACCCTTACACAAGAAAAATAAATTTAAATTTTTTATTTACCATATTATAAGATTGCTTATCTAATACTGAATATGTATTAAACTTAAATAAACTAAAATATAGAAAAGTTTCTTCACTTAAATTAACATTAATATAAACTAAGAAATCGTATCTGGTAATACAATTCGCTAAAACAATAAGCTGGGCCGATGGAAACTCTTCACATCTCGAAGCTCCACCTTAAATTCGTGCTGGACGAATCGATCTGTAGCAAATTACGATTGCGAAATGTAAAAACTAACTTAATACTTATTTCAGAGTCCGTTTCCAATGTGGCCGCTTCTGCTACCATCTGCAACTTTCCACGTAACAAACTCATCAACAAAATCTTAGTAGTCCTTGTATATATTTTACAGAATGTGTGCTGTCAACTTTTCACAGTGTGTTCATTATTCAAAGTTCGAGTTGAACATGTTAATGTTTAGGTCTTCGAAGGTAGTCGCGCCGCCCTGATCTAGTATCTGTAGCATGTCGGATAGTTCGTGCGGAGCGTGACCACCTTCAGGCGCGGGCGCTCCGCCCGCTGCCGCTGCACCACCCTGCCATGACCACATACCTGAAAGATATATTTGATTCAATACGGGTGTAGAATGTAAACGAAAATTAATACTTTTTTTGGTAATGTTTAATATACTATTACCGGTAAACACGTTTTTATACTTATTATATTTATAGTATTGGTTAATTTAATTATGAAAAAAAAACCTATATTTGATTTTCAATTGCACGCGACCACAAACAGCACGTGAAGTTACACACTCATGTCAGAACTTAAGAGTTATTAGTTAAAGATATTAGTTTTAGAGTGGCTAATCATCTTTTTAGTAATTATTTTAACCGTCGTACTCATTAGCGTGGTGTAACTGTAATCGTTGCACGTTACTATTTACATTTTTCAAGGTCAATGATTATCTTTAATTAATTATAACGTTATAATTATTTTTATATCGGATACCCGATAAATACTGTTGTAATTAAATTGAGCAAAGACATGAGCAATAATATACACATAATGGAAATAAAGAAATTCATATCGGTTCAAAAGGTAAAAAACGTCACAGTATTTGAAGTTTTTGGAGATCCAAGAAAGATCCATCCAATAAATCCATCCATGAATCACGTCACACGTAGGGAGGGGGGGGGGGGGGGGGTCGACATAAGAATTTGTATAGACAAAGATGTGATAATTTTTAGTAGAATTTGTATAGACAAACATGTGACAGGAGAGGGGGAGGGGGGGTTAAAAAATTCATGAATTTTGTGTGACGTAATTTATGGACGGCCCCAAAGTGTTTTTTGAATTGATTGATAAATATGAATAAAAAGTAAATTTCCCCGAAATATTAATGTAATGTGCTTATGGTGTAACAAAGTATAATTTAAAACTATTTTTCAACAGCAGTCATATACCCTATTTGTGTATACGTTACCGTGCGGCGGATGCGTGGGATGCGGATGGTGGTTGTGGTGGTAATGCGCGGGCGGCAGATACGCGGGCGCGGGCGGCGATCGCGCCGGACTGCCCTCCGTCCCCGCTGTACCGCTCGTCTCGCCACTGTACGCGTATGTCTCTCCACTTCCACCGCCTCCGGTCTGTACAAATAATCACAATCATAATCATCTACGTTATCACCTTCCTATAAGCGTCCCCACTTCGGTCGAACCGAATTGAAATAATGACCCATAATTGTTGATGGGTGTTGATTGCAGATGCAACGAACGCAATAACTATTGGTTACTGAGCAAAAGCATTGCAACGTCGTATGCAAGTATGTAGTTTCTGATTACTAGATGTAGCTTCCCATAGGTGAAAGAATTTTCACGCTCAGATCCATATTTCAGAAGATTACCCCTTACCAATTTCGAAACGTTCTTATAATTTTGTCATAATCATACCTATGAAGATTTTGTGAATCATAGGTGCAGCATTATAAATCGCACGTTACATTATACTTGTTAATAAATAATTTTTAATCGGTACATTTTGCACACAATCTGATATACATCCAGTTGCACAAATGTCAATTAATATTGTTATTATTTAAAGCGACATTGCCGATACAAACTTTCAACATAAGAACATGCATTAGAATTTAAAATCTTCATTAAACTATAATTCTCTTTTGTTATCTGTTATTCTTGTTACAATGTCAAAAAGAGGCATATTTAACTGTAATATCGTGAACTAATAATTGATGACAATGATAATATTAATATTTTTTTCCACAATGCTGCTCATTCGATTCAAATTTGTTTGAAAACCATATCTACCAGTAGAATTTTGTTCAAATCATATTACAGTAGAACTCCAATTATCCGAACTCCGACTATCCGAATCGCCGATTATCCGAATCACAAAAAATTGTCCAAAAAAAGTCTAAGTGCGCTATTATTCTCCCCCCCGCGAAGCCAGTGTTTGCGCGTCAAGTCTTGACTTGACTTGTCTTAACTTGCCGTTGTGCCTACACTGACTTCCCCCCGCGTGTGTAGGCACAACGGCAAGTTAAGACAAGTTCCGGCGCATTGCAGTCACGGCGCACCTGTCATTGTTTGTTTTGATTAGCCAGTGTGCTATTGACCTTGCTCGAGGACGCTACTCTTTCGCTACGGCTTACTTTTGTTTGTGCGTATACAATACTGTATTGTTTTTATACCATGGCTTCGAAAAGAAAACGTGTTGTGCTATCGTTAGTGGACAAACTGAAAATTATAGAGCAACTCGATAAAGGTGTAACGGGTAAGAAGTTGTCTGAGATTTATGGTGTTGGACAAGCAACAATTTCTGACATTAAAAACAGTAAGTCAACACTTTTAAACTTTGTTTCGGTGCTTGAAAATGAAGATGGAAGTTCCTCCAGGAAAACAATGAAGACAGCAACCAAGAAAAATTTGGAAGATGCCGTGTTTAAATGGTTTTTGCAGCAACGTTCTATGGGAAATCCGATTTCAGGTCCAATCCTTTGTGAAAAAGCCAAAATCTTTGCAGAAAAGCTTGGTTATTCATCTTTTAAGGCTAGTAACGGCTGGCTAAGGAATTTTAAATTCAGGCATGGTGTACGCGAGTTAGATTTGGCTGGTGAGAAGCTTTCAGCAGACTCTGCAGCTGCTGAAAATTTTATTGAAAAATTTAAAACTGCATCAGAATCCTATGATCCGGAGTTTGTTTATAATGCCGATGAAACTGGCCTTGTTTGGAAAGCATTACCAAAAACCACTTTGGCTTCTAAAAGGGAATCTAGTGCCCCTGGACATAAGGTCAGTAAAGAACGTGTTACAGTGCTTAACTCTCTATTGCATACAGAGCCATTTTTGGCTGCTAAACTAGTAATTTTTTTCTACCCTAATTATAAACAAAAATTTTAAAATTTATCAAAGTAATATTAGGGAGTTCAAACTGAAACGAAACGTAATTTTTATTGTCTATGGCCAAAGTCGTATGTCATTATAAGCTCACTTTTTTCCGGTGCGTACGCAAAGTCGTTCTTAGTGAAATTTACTGCAAATTTATTAGTGAAAATTAAATAGAAAAGGTAAGAATATTGATATTCAAAAATATAAATAATGTTCTACAAAGCCTCTGTTTTTGATGCCTCTTACACTTTATTCAAAATATTTGTTCTTTATACTTCATTTTCATTATTTTCTACTAGTGCCATATTTGGCTTCGTATGCATTATGATAAAGTAAATTAGAGCCTAAAATGGCTTCGCATGCATTCAGAGATACATTTTTTAACGTAAACAACGAGAAATCTCTGCAAAAGTGCAAGAGCTACCTCTAAATTCAGTACGTTCAGACAAAATTGACCATTTTCCGATTCATCAAAGGACTCGTCAATTATATCAGAATGATTGTTCTTTGCGTTCCCATATAAAATGTGAGAAATGTAATGTTTTTCTATGCTTGAATGAGAAAAGAAACTGTTTTAGAGAATTTCACCTTGTATGATGTTTATTTGTCGTGCATCAGAAGCCAAAAATGGCTTCTGTTTTTTTTTTCCAAAATAATAAAATTTTTCTTTTCACATTTTAATTTTGTCTTATAAGCCATAATAAAGCACATTAAAACATAAAAATATTTTTTTTCTATCAAATTTAATAATTCATGCAATAGAGGGTTAACTGTGCCAACTCCACTGGAAATCATAAACTGCCACTTCTTTTGATAGGAAAATCAAGAAATCCAAGAGCATTTAAAAACGTAAAAAACTTCCACTCTTCTACAAAAGTCAACCCAAGGCCTGGATGACTGCAGCTTTGTTTACCGAATGGTATGATGAAGTGTTTATTCCTGAAGTGAAAAAGCACCAAAAATCGGTGGGAAAAGAAGGCAGTAAGGTGCTTTTAATTGTTGATAACGCACCCACTCATCCTACAGCAGAACTGTTGGAAAGAGAGAATGGGCAGTTCAAAACGACGTTTTTGCCTCCCAATGTTACAAGTTTGCTGCAACCCATGGACCAGTCTGTTATTGAAACAATGAAGCGCCATTACAGAAGGCAGCTGCTGAGAAAACTGCTGAACGAAGGTGCTGAAGATGAAGAATTGGTTTTGGCAAATCATAGCAAAATAAATTTAAAGGACTGCTGTTACATGGTAGCGGAAGCTTGGAGTTTGGTTACGGCAGTGACGCTAAGACGTGCGTGGAATAAACTGAAAGGCCTACCGTCTGAGAAGAACAAAAAAAAAGAATCTGAAGAAAATGAGAAACAAGAATATGGAGAGGATGATGATGATAAAGATGCGTTGTCACTAGAGGAAATAAGAAAAATGATTGTGAAAATTCCTGGTTGTACAGAAGTAAGTGCTGAAGATGTAGGAGAGTGGATGGCTTGTGACACGTCTGACCCTGGTTTTCAAATTCTCAATGACGATGAAATTGTTGTAAGTGTGAGAGAAGATGTTGAAGTGGAAGTGGAAGAAGAACTTTCTGCTGATGTTGAAGTAGACGCTGGACCATCAGCTAGTGAAGCATTTGCCGGCCTCGAGACTGCTTTGAAGTGGATGGAGCGTCAGCCCGAGTGTGACCACTTGCAACTGCTCACCGTCAAGCGAATGCGTGACCTGGCTGCCCGAAAACGGTTGAAGACCGCAAAACAGCTTACATTGACGGAGATGTTTAAAAAACAATGATTTTTATTTCTAAACTTGTACATAAGTACATTTTATTTATATTTAAAACATGTGAAAATTTCATGTTTCTTTCATTTAATTCAATAAAAAAATAGTGCAATATCAAAACGTAGCTTTTATTCTCTCCAATGGCAATTTAAAAAAAAAAAAATCCGATTATTCGAATTTTTGATTATCCGAATGGGTCCCGGTCCCCATTAATTCGGATAATTGGAGTTCTACTGTAGTTTATTTGACATTGTAAAATAGACTCCACAATCTCTGTAAGCAGTTAGGGATCATCCATAAATTACGTCACACGATTTTCATGATTTTTTTGCCCCTCCCCCGTCCTAGTTACAGCTGGTCACATTTGTAAGACTCCCCCCTCCTAGTGTGATGTCACATATTTTGCAAGGTTTTTGTAAAGTAATAGTTTAAAATTCGTGTTTTAACACTTAGATTACAATATATTTTGAAATGTGACGTCACGGAATTTAGGATCCTCCCACCCCCTTGTCACACAATGTCACACTTCGTCGACCCCCTCCCTCCCCCTTAACGTGTGACGTAATTTATGGATGGCCCCTTATGCTGTTTGCAGCCCTAGGAATGACGGGTCATTATACGGAATTGTTCATGTTCGACGTCCGCTTTATACAATATAGACTGACTGTTCGCAGCGTGGTCCACGTGGTGTGTGGCGGCGTGTTGGCGGGTCGATGCGGCGAGTAGTCCGGCGCGTAGTGTGGCGCGTACGGCGGCGCCGCCACACCCGCGCCCGACTCGCCCGGCGACCGCGCGCTCACACCACCGCCCCCACCCGCGCTACCACCACCTAATATACAAACTCAATCAATGTCCACGATTCGACAAGTAGTCGTTGAACGTAAAAATAGTGCCTACCTCTCGATTTCTTTAAAACTGCATGGATTTGTCTGAAACCTAAGTCTAGTTACTAAATAAATATATTGTACCAGTGGAAAGACTGTAATTATATTCAACTAATATATATAGATAGAACAAGTATTTTGACATTTCACTATATTTAAAAACCGTTGAAACTACCCCACATATGGAAATTAATAAAAAAAACTTTTGGAATTCTTGTCTTAAATTAAAAAATATATATATTCCCAAAGTTTACACAATCTGATAAATGCTTTTTTTAATTATTCAACTACTAAAATAAAAAAACCATCAAAAATACTTTAAAAAAGTTTTCTTAATATAATGATACAATCAATAATCAAAAGTATCCCTTACATGCAAATAAAATATAGATATACTGTACCTCAAATATATATATATGACCATATCTCATTAAATTTTCGAGTTATATAAATTAAATGATAATCAAATCGTTTAACAAAAATACCACTACATTTTTGATACAAACAACTTTTTTGTAAATGCATTTCTTTATGTTACTTGGTTTGAAAACATTTTTTTTTAAACTGAAAAAGAAAATTTCTTTTGAAACCATGTTTTTCAAAACCTATAAGACTTCCAAACCATTGAAATTTTTGGGACGTATTGCTAGGATTTAAATGAAATTAATTCTGAAATTTGATTTTACTTATGACAATGATTACATAAATGATAACTCTTTTTTTTTTTTAATTCCCATGACTCAGCTTATTTTTATTTTAAGCTGGGACATTTTATTATAGCTATTTTTAAAAGTCTAATAAAGTACTATTAAAGTAAAAAACATTTATTTCGGAAAGTTTTATTCTATTTATATTCCAATTTTTTTTTTGTATTGCCACAACACCTACGTAGAATTATATTATCATGCAAAATAGATTAAATTTTTAAGGTTATAATTTGTTTTGGAAACCATCAAGAGATAGGGTCGTTGAGATGTGTAATAGTTTTCGTAAGTTAATAGAAGTTATTAGTAAATATTAATTAGGGATCGCAGCTTGTCCATATCAAATATTTGCTACAAATTTTATAAATAAAATTATTATTATTGAAGTATTAATATTTCGACGACGTCCTTTAAAATTTCTTAATGCAGTTTTACAGAAAATGGAGGTGAATCCGTCGAGTGACTGGACTGAAGGTTATTTGTAAATCATCAACCACCTCGCTAAAGTAGATAACCAACATCATATTGTTCACAATACACACAAAATATGTATATTATATTTAAACCTTTATATTTTACCAACGATTATTTGGGTCTTTAATTTTCATGGAACATGCTAAAACATTAATAAAAATGTCGTATTGATGTACTTTTCTTTGTAGCAGGTTCATTAATAAGCTTCGTAGCGTGTCGACATGGTTTTTAGTGTTACCTGGAGGAGCGTGATGTTGTTGATGGATAGCCTGAGGCTGTGCTGCTTGATATACGTCACGATGACGTAAATGATAATCGTAACTTTCTTCGGCGGGCGGTTCACCTGTCGTACTTCCTAAAGATCGACTGCAAATCACCAATTAAAATTGATATTATCTTATTTTAATGTAAGCAGTCCATTTAATTAAAAACAATTATACTAATAAATATCCACTTACTTAGCCAAAGTATTTGTACAGACAATATATTCTACATCATCGTTGTAAGGGTTTAAAAAGGCAAACGCGGAAGTTCTTAACCATATAAATTCTCTGCTTTTCGCACGAAATCTGTACATCAGAGATATAATCTGCCCTTTTAATTTAAGTACTGAAACAAATCAAAAAACATTTTTTATTATTCTAATTTGCTGGAATAATCAAAATATTAAGTTTGTTAAGTGATATATGCTTAAAAAATCTACAAGCCGCGGTTATCCCCATATATAACGCGAAACCACAATCTTTCGCTATTCGGGCGGCTGCTTTAGTACAGCATTAGCTTTATAATACAGTAACATAACACTGAATACAAAGAATACAAGATTGACCAAATACAATATATAATACTAAGTTTCTTCATGATCATACCTTGGTCAAAATTATCTCTCATATGTTGTTGGTCTTCGGGATGATAGAATTCGTAACAGAGCTTGCCGAGTAAATCGGCGGGTGCATATCCTACAACTTGCGTGGCGCGCTGGTCGGCGAATGTGAACCGGCCGTCCACAGAGTGCCTCGAAACAAACTCTACGCCACTACTGCACAAACTGCCCTCGGTTGTATTCGGCGTCGAAGTTACCTTGTATACACAGTAAAATATGTCTTAACGTGGGCACAGACATAATATTGTGACTATGTAATGTGCAATTAAGCCGAATTTACAATTTTAAGATTGAATATATTACAAGTTTCAAAGGAATCTTCTTATAATTTTCTTTTGTCTTTGAGAGAAGAAATTATTGTATCTTACAAATCTATTAAGCAAAAGTAAGGCTTACCTGTAATCGACCGATGGCCACTAGACAACAGTGAGAAGCATGAAGTTCATCTTCCACTGGACGATCCATCTGCATTCCTGGAAACAGATCTGATGTCCCAAATATATATGCTAGATGTTCACGAACTTATAAAGTGCACAAACTTTTACATACGTATATTGAATCTTATTTTTGGGTTATAAGATTGGGATCGATTAGATATAAATATTTAATAAACTAAAGCCGTATCAAATAAACATTTGCCGAAGTTAATATCATGTGCAATTTAATGTTCGTTAATTTATAATACCTAATGCTAATGCTATAGCAATACCTGTTGGTGGCCAATTTTTTATATATCCAGTACAATGTACCACAGCGTAATTGTGACCGTCATGTGAAGGTCCCAGAGAATTGCGTGCGCGCAGTCTACCGAGGTGTGCGCCTTCCGACGAACCGCCGACGCGCATACGGCATATGAACCCTCGACGTGAACCCATTACTTGACGCATGGATGCTATCGTAAAATAATAATATAATCAATGATATGATTACATAAATTGTATTTTAATGCTTATGAACTATTGAACATTTTTAACATTTCAAGAAATTACTGTAACTAACAAGCAATGATTCATTGCCAAATCATGAAATATTTTAATAAAATTCGCCGAACAAATTCTTACGGCGCCTAAAGACTGATTTCGCAACGCTTATCATGATTGTGTTATTGTAAGGGACTATTTTAAATACTGTTTATAAGATGACTTAAATTATACGATGTTCAAAACATCATATATACTGAAACTCATCATAGTCTTCATTTGAATGACTTATATAAAAATAATTTACGTTATCATAACACCTTCCAAATTCTATAAAACAATAAAGTAGCTTTAACTTGTCTATAAGAAGAACTATATTATTTGATTCTTTAACATTTATATAGCCAAACGATAGGAACAAATGGTATCTGGGTTTAAGTTTTGTGTGACCTTCCAGAATTAGTTTTAAAAGGTTAATTCAATACAACATTAATGCAGAGATTTTAACATTATACTACTTACATTGATGACCCTCTTTTTTCACAGTGCCAGTTTTCAGATCTAAAATCCTGCCGGTGTTTTGTGGTTCTTGAGTGCTTAACTGCTCCCTAACCTTTTCAACATCATCTGGATGAACTTGATCATATAAACATGAAGAATACCAATCTCCCTAAAAGACAATATATACGATAAGCTAAAACCTCTTTAAATAGTAACTTTAAAAAGTATAAAATTATAATAATTACCTGTGAATAATTTAAAACGGGTGCTATACTGTCACTAACATAAATTATACGACCCGTATCGCAACTCACTACAAAGAGAAAACCATCGGCAGCTTCCAGGATCAAATGCTTTAATTCTTGATCGGTTAAAAATGATGGTTTATATGTACCGTCTGTTGAGGTATTACCAGTACCTAAAATAAAAACAGGTGACAGAAAAAGGTAAAATGAAAACTGAATTATGTGAAATGGTTGAAATAGAAAATTACACTAAAATATATACTCCATTACCTCTTAAAGCTTTCATGTGCGCAACTGCCATACGCAGTATGGTCAGTTTATCAGGCTTGCGAGCGAGAGCAGAACACGTAGGAACCATATCTGATAGTTCCGTAATGTACGCCGTCATCTTGTTTCTTCTACGTCGTTCAATCTCACAGTGGTTCTCCCGACTGTAATGTTATTTTAAAACTAATATCCAGAGATTGGCAAAATGTAATCCTGATTAACGAGTATTCATATCTTTTTAATAGCTAATAAACAGATTGACCAATGTCGTTTTAAATAATGATAAATAATTACAACACTTTCTCAACTTGCAACGAGAATACTTATTGCTATAGTATTATGTAACCCTTAATCACTTTATCAGAACTACATTTTAAACATTTCAGTTAAAATCAAGATATATAAAAAAGTATATTAAGATAATATTTCAAGATATATTAAAAAGTAAAGGTAATATATGTGAGTTAAGTGGAACTAAATTTAGCTTGTCAATATGGCTTTCAAAAAAATCAGCTTGTTTATTAAATTTGTAAAAGCAGTCGGAAAATGTAATAAAGAGGAACGTATGTACTACAAGTACAAAATTTTCAATAAAAAACATAAAAGAATAATTAACTAAAAATCTATATATATATATAAATTTGTTACGTTACTGAGTGACTGACAAACAACGTATAACCGAAACTACTGAGCGTAGAAAGTTAAAATTCGGAATGAAGATTCCTTAGAGGAGTACTAAGAGAGGATTTTTGAAAATTCCACCCCGAAGGAGCCAAAATAGGGGATAAAAGTTTATATGAAACTTCGTTACTACAAGTTCTAGGAGTTTCAAATTATGCATGCGGATTTATTTTTGGGTGCTCACTAAGACGGGATATTACGAAATTCGACCTCTAATGGGGAAAATTTGGGTATGAAAGTTTTTATGAAATTTACTCATTTCTAACTTAAAACTAAACCACGCGGTCGAAGCCGCGGGCAAAAGCTAGTGAAAAATATGTCATATATTTTTTGTTGTTGATTCATTGGATTCAATGGTTCATTGGATGAAACGTAACGTTTATAAAATCTTACTAATAATAAATTAAAATGTCGCCTCTATAATTATACTATATTCAGCTCCATACTTTTTTATATAGTGATAATTGATAAACGTGTATCACTCACAGAGTATGATATCGGAATATTTAACTATAATTTTGGTATACTACAATAATATGTATATTTATTCATATTATATGTCGTATTGTGAATTCTATTCATAAATAATGCAATATGCCATAATCTGCTTTTATTTGTCGTAATCGCTAGAATGCTGAAAGGAGGGTCAATGAGACATCATAGACTGACCTCGCGATTTCCTCTCGTTTTCTCTTAACCTTAAAGGCGCATTGTTAATGTTATTTAGTTGTGCGTACTTTTTGTATAGATTTAAATTAGTATAGTTTTTATAATATGTTACAGAATCAATGAATTACCCCAAACCCTATGTAACGTTAAAGGCTCTCATTTGGTTCAAGATTTTTCTGATTTTAAAATCGTAAACAACTGACGAATATTTTTTTTTACCAGATTGTCGGGTTTCGTCTGGATTGTTCCGACACTGTGGTTTATATAAAAAATCCCGATAAAAAGATGATATGTACCGACGAAAAACAAGGCGAGTTTTTGTTTACATTTTAGTCCACCCATCAGGTAACCCTAAATAACTTTCTTTGCTTGTGGTGCTGCTACCAAACCACTGGCTTAGTTGGCATCAAGTTAAGCATTTTTCCACATGTGGTGTTTTAATAATACAAAATTTTATATCACAATTATTTCTAACGCTGCCCATGATCATTTAGATATCAACTTAAAAATAAATTCCAAGACTTCATAATTCCCGTCGTAAATTTGAAAGCAATGTTAATAAGTAATATCAAATATTTTTAAACAAGCTTGAGGCGCGCGTTTCGCGTGATAAGACACGTTTCCAATCAACACATGCTAACTTACTCAACAATAGGTATTATCGTTATGGGAATTGATTATAATAGGCAGTGTTTTATGTAAAAAAACAACAATAAATACATCAAACCTGTCTTTATGCACTTTTCAAACCATGATGTATGCAAATGATTTCTTTGAAAATGCATTTTCTTTGAATGTGCTTAAAATAATACAATATATAAATTTTTATAAAATTTTGAAATAGTCACTGACTTCACTTGTACGACGACATCGGCGCAGAGTGATTCATAACATTATACAAATAAGTTAAATATGCAGATTTTTTTTCTAATTCTAAAATCTTAATCTAGGTATTTATTTGGCCTGTCAAAGTATTTTCTGCTTTTGTAGCATTCAATATCAATGCATTCTTTAAATTTAAACTTATGTAATGAATTTAGTAGGGACCATTATAAAGTGCATCTTTCAATGAATGAATTACAAACAAAGTGCATCTAAATTACTACAGGTCATGAATAATTTAGTTTAATTGGTAAATTATTTTATTCACATGGCAAACTATAACAATACTGCAGTGTAACAATCACAACTTTCCCAACATTTAAAGAATGAAGTTTATAATTATGTTTTAATAGTTTCATTGATAACACTTCCTTTTCCAATAAATGACAATAGGATAATAATAAGCTCACCATTATTTTGTGTAAACATCAAGAAGAGATGAGTTTTATATTAATCTATGCATGGCATGGCATCTTAAGACTTATAAAAACGAAAAATAAATAAGTACAATTAAAATTAGCATAAAATTATTTTGCAAATTGTAATTGAAATTTGTGATTAATATGAATTGGATTTGAATTTTTTTTTAGTAAAATTTAGAGCTAGATTGTGAGCAGTGTGAAACACCAATATCTATGGTATTGATTTGAAATGATACATTTTAATAAAAAAAAACAAGCAATGTTATACCCACTAATTGATAAGTCCTGTTATTGAAGACAGTTGATTCTAATTAACTTTTTGTTGTTTCATTAATTTTTTTTATATTCAGAGCTGTTTCCGAATCCACTTTTCTAGGTTTTTGATAAACAAATCAGCAATTAACAAACAGATCGAAAATAAGTTTTTTAAATGTGTATATTCTTTACAAAAATTATATTAAACATACCTCGCAAAACGCTCCTTATCTTGAATATTGTCCTCCTCCATCCTTGTATATTTGCCACCACTTGCGTCGTCTTCATCTGATCTGTAACAATTTATTTTATTTCTCTGTCATTGTAGTTTTAACTAACATTAAATATAAAACAAATGACTATTGATAGCTTCAATAGAATAATTTATAATTCTTATTGTACTCTAATATTGAACTGAAGAAAATATAAAGTAATTAATCAAGTCTTATTTAAGTATTGACATGTTTAATTATAACATTAAACTTAATTTAGATATTCATACCCAATACTGCCAGCACGACGCTTTTGTATGTCCTTTGCTGGGTCAGCCCCTAAAAATATTATATGACTATGTGAAGTAAAAATAAAAAATTAATGAATATGCAACACTAACATACATACAGATTAAAAACAAGGTCAAAGAAAACCTCACTCCTAATAAATTAACGTCAAACGCAGCATTCTTTGTTAACAACATAAGAATCAAATTACTGATGAGCAGTTATTAATTTAATATGACACTTTTTTAAAGTCAGCAATAAAATAAAGTTACACATATTTTCATTCAAAACTTAAGCTTATTTTACATGAACATTGTTTACTACTAAATTAGCAATGAACATAATTCCTACGTGAATAGCATCTAGGTACTAATATTAAGTTTAGATGGGATTCATAAATTGGATACTCCTTGCGTTCGTTGTTAACAACGCGTCACACAGCAACGTCAAAGTGAAAATAGGTCGAATTAAAAGTCAATATTTTTTGTTAATTAATATCGAATTTGATCAAAATATAAAAAGGAATTTGGTTTTCTTTTTTATCGAAATAAGGAATAGGAATTATTAAACTAGATATAAATTAACCAACCGGGGATAGTGGGAGCCACGGCAGACATCGGTCAGCAAATTCATTAGTCCTCTTTGTAATAACACTATCTAATACTATAATAAATCTTTTACAATTTCATGAAATTCAGGTTGCAAATAATTGTGAGCCAACTATGTATCACAATCCATTTAGATACCTACATACAACCACTGTTCTCTATGCATTGAATACAACACACAAACGCCATTTTTATCTTTTTTCTTAAGTTACTAATAGTATAAAAACAAAGGAATCAAGGTTCATACAGCCATGCTTTATTTTTAGATACGAGAAGGCAACTAGGATCATATATTTATGGCGGGTTAGAATTTTAAAAAAACAAAGAATATCGAAACCTTAGTCTCATAATATATATAAGCAAGCTTATACTCTAAGGTCTAAACTTCGTGATGGAGGGTGAAGAACAAGAAATATGAATATACGTAAACTTCTTGGCGAAGAAATGTGTCATGCCAAGAATGTATGCTCTACTTCGATCAACAATACAACAAGATAACGCCTCGCATACTAAAACAATACTTAAATACGGCACCACACACTGCGATAACCAAGGAATATAATACCACAAAGTATATTCTGCAATAATACTCTAGTACTTACTCTAGGCGACAACTGCACTCCGGAACTGGGTAAGTGGTAGTTGTATGCACCATGGATTTAGTACTTATAATTGGATTTATTATAACTGAACCTTATTACTATCGGTTAAAGTATATTTATAATTACTCTTTGTACCGAAGCTAATCCAAGCCAAGAGAGATAGTCACAACGGAGGCCGTATATCTCGTTCTTTCATCTTGCCATGATAAAAAATATTGTTGATTACAATATTCAACCAGAAAACCTACATTCAAACATTTGTATTTAAATGGTTATTATTTTATAAAATGTAAGTTATTATATAATCACATTAATTTCTATTATATCACATTTATTTTTATTATAGTCTGTTTGTTCACTTATTTCCTACTTTTCAAAGGGATACCCCTTTGAAGTGGCATGGCGGGAAAAATTTGATATTATATTTAAGTACTAATAATTCGCATTTTTAGTACAGTAGCTTAATTGGTAATTAAAATGGTGAAAAAGTGTTGCGTTAATGCTTGTCCAAGCGAATCATATGGTGGTTGCAATATATTTTTCACTGGTAAAATAAAAATAACAAAATTGTAAATTTAATACTATGTTTACCATGAAGTTGTATAAAGTGTGGATAATGTGTATTAAATGTGCGGTCAAAGCAAAATATCGTTATTCACAGTTTTCTGAAAATTGAAGACATGCGACAGAAATAGCTCAGTAATATACAAGTGAAACAGAATTTTACCAAGAACTTGATTATATGCAGTTGTCACTTTGAACCGTCATGTTTTTGTAGAACTAATTCGAGACGATTATGAAAAACAGATGCTATACCAACAATTTCTTCCGTGGTAGATATATTTTGTTATTATAATAAATTATTTTTAGTGATATGTTCTTTGAGTGGACTTTATTATATTTTTTTTTTTGCAATAGGCTCACAAAAATATTGTTAGGGTATAAATTTTCATATAAGTTTCATGTTTGTTTGTTTAAACTTTCTATTTATTTAATTCCACGAAACATATTTTTAACAGACTCCAAAATCAAAAAGAAGACGTTTTACGTTTGACGGATTTTTCAGCGAACTGTTGATCGATTTTCGAAATCCTTTTTTATTAGATACGGCCTCGAGGTAGTCCTACATGTAATAATAATTTTGTTTGATTAGAAATTTTGTGTTTACAATTACACAAAATAAGTCAAATATTTAACAATATACGTAACGTATATTTTTGTTGTAAGTACTTGGGTAATATTCACAGATTTCTCCGCGATATCAACTATCGACTTGATACTTTAAAAAAATAGGAATAATTATAAACATATTAGAATTTAACAAGTAATTCAGAAATCAAAAGGACTGTATGGAAAGAGTTACCACAAGGGTCAGTCCTTAACTCTGCTGATCAGTATCTATCTATACACATGATTTAGATTCACGCTTCGATAAATCATCATCAATCATCAGCTTCTACAATATGCGGATGACTTTATTATTATATTCCACAAAATAATCGGTTTGAATAGCTGCGCCACATATTCAGTTGGCCTTGATTTAATTACACACCTGGATGCTTACCAATTGCTTAGCCAATTTATCTGCATCAAAAAGTGCATTCATAGCTTTTTCAAGAATGAGCGCAATTTTTAAGCGAAAATCGCGAGCAAGTCTATGGCAGATTGAGAGCTCAACCATTTTCATAAATCAAAAGCAAAAATTTTTAATATTGTGCTGGATTCTGCATCCCAAACAAGAGTGAGGTCAAAAAACTTGACCTCTAAACAATGTTGGATTTGTGGCATCCTTTAAACAGGGTGACAATGTTTTATCAATTAATTTATTTCTTACTAAATGACACTACACTGATGTAATTTATAAGCAATCAAATTAGGAACATACATTATATCCAATGGTACTATAAAAACCAAGTGTACAAATAAAATAATTTTATTTTCTTTTAAAATCAGTATGTAATTAGAGACAAAAATTATTTTCTTAAGTCTTCTGAAGATATTCCATATTTCTTCTTTAATGCATCAATTTCTTCCTGTTTCTTTTCAATATCCATACCTTTGAATGCTTTATTGGATCTGTAATATAACACCACTAGATATCTATTACAAACATTGAAGCCTGATAGGTGATCACATGCATTTTTTGCATCAAATATGTCCTCATATACTACAAAAGCTGTTCCTCTAGTTTCAGGTGTATTTCCTCTGAAAATATAAAAAATAATCTGTAATTACATTTCCTAAAGTAAATACATTAATTAGTAAGATTAAAGTAACTTACACACGGATTTGTCTGATAGCTCCATATTTCCCAAAAATGTCATACATCTCTTCTGCTGATATTTTGTATGGTAAATTACGGATGTATAAAATTCTATTAACTTCAGGGGGTAGTCGAACCTATGAAGAAATACATTTAATTTAGTATTCCTGGTAAACATTTACTTGACTAACTACAAAAGTAATTTGATTTTGAATACATCAAAAGTAGTAACATGTAACATTGAGCACTTTTTCTATTGGTAAAAATGAATTAATAAACATAAGTTTGACCATTGTCAACATAATCAACATGATAAAATCAAAAACACAGACAACCTTACAGGACTGGAAAACTAGCGTTGATTATGCAACAACAAAACTACAATCACTCAATAGTAGTACTGAGTGATTGTAGTTTTGTTTGTTGTTGTTGTACAAAAAAAATATTTATTAAATTTTTATTATACTATTGTGAGATTTATGGGCCTATGTTTTATTCATAATCAAAAGGTCTAAGGTAAATTATCTAAATATTAGATACCAGATGTTTGTATGAAAAGCATAATATAATGAATTATTGAGTCATAGAACAAGTGTCATTATTTATTATGTTTACTGTCCAATCATACCAATTATTTGCTTGAAAGCTAATGGTGTATATGTCATAGTGATTTTGTCAAAGATGCAATATTATAATTTCTTATTCAGTTTTCAGTGAGAAAATGATTACATAAATAAATAATATTTGTCACATATAAACAATCTTTGAACAGAGTTAGGTATTGTAAGCTGAAAGTACAAGGGCATGTATGTAAATCTGTTTCTCACAAATTATCAAAGATTCTTGCAGATCGACATTGCAGATCAGCAACTATAAAATGAAATAACATATCAAATACCTATATTAGTTTTCAAACTAATGAAATCATACAGCTTATAACGAAACAAATTAAATGTGATTGGTCTGTGGCAAGCGAAATAACTAAAATACAGAAGTTATGTATTATTTTCAATAATTTCTACACATATTTCATGGTTATAAAATACTTCACATAAATAAAAAAAAAAAAATAGGTACTAAATTCAAGTTTATTGAACCTGAAAAGTTACATCGGAACTTCTAAATTTCGTTGATTAGAGGGCTGGAAACTGAAACTTACGTTAGCTCTTCTTTGTAATGCTAATGCCATATTTAGATTGTGCTTATATTTATTCTTACTCGATGTTCGTTTTGTAAATCAATTCCTTCCTCGACAAAATTAACACACAAAAATTTCATACAAATTTCTTTGCAACCGTATCAACTTTTTATACTGAATCACAGACTTAATAGGTAAGTAATAAATGTGGGATGTGGGATCAACTCTGTCTCAATCTAAAAACCACAACAACACCACAGATTAACAATATGTAACAACACCAAAATACCAAAGAGTAAAAGTATATATATATAAAAACACGCAGGTCACAGACCACGGAGATACTACTAGTGATGCCTCACTCGTGAGGTACCTCGTTTGTGTTACTCGTAGCGACAAAACCAGGGAGGTATACGTTTTTCAACTTTGAACCACCTCATTTTCTGAGGCCACAAACACAAGGTATTTAAAGAATTATCACACAGTCATACACTCAGCAGAATAGTGAGTTACTTCGAATGAAAGGTTGAGTCGATGCGTAATAAACATACTAACGATTGATCGAGGGAGTGGGTCGGTTTTATAAGGTTAGAACGACTCAGTTTAGTTTAGTTTTGTTCAGCATTTCATCGCAACTAGTGCCTATTTCACATTATCTTATATGAATAATATTAATCGATGGAAGTAAAGTGAGGCAAAGTGGGTAAAATCAAAAAAATACTGTAATGTAAGTAAAAAAAAATAAAAATTATTTAATGAAGAAAGAAATTGATAACCAAAAGACATTCGTTCTGCGTAAGAAAACATTTGTACAATAATAAATAATTATGGTTTTCTATATTTGATCAAGTAATACTAATTCTCTTCACCTCACAACAATTGAGGGGTACCTCGCGAGTATCCCATTAGGTAAAACGAGATCCTCGCTCATTCACAATAAAAACGTGTGAGTTACACAACACTAGGTAAGTAAGAAACTACCGTTTTAAGAGACGGGTCATAAAACTAAATATTTTTATCGATTTGTTGCGATAATCAGAATCGACATAATAATACGCCAGCTTCAAAAAAGTGTACCAACCTGTTCAGAAAATTAATGAGGAAGTACTTAAAAAAAACATTAGTTCCCGAAATCAAACTAGGTGACGGTACTTTCTTGATTCCTCCATGACAACCCTTCCGGTCCTTTCATGTATAAAAGTAAATTATTTTCAAAATCCAATAAAAATTTCCTATTTTATTTGAACTTTTTCATATTTATATTGATATCTAAGTTTCGAACTTTGCAAGTTCAATGTTAGTTAAAAGGAAGGGAAATTACTATCTTTGGTCCATTTGCAAACAAATCTACTTTTGCTAGAGTCGCCATCTAGTGGAGGTGCTTTTTTGGTGCTTTCTTTTTATTTTTAAATACTTCCTCATTCCAATATAATAATACGCCAGCGTAAAAAAGTATACCAACCTAACAGATCAAGTAGTGCTGTCTATCCTGCGCATCTGTGTAATGTTGTTTTTATAAAATTCACGTTGATATAAATGTGAAATATATATTCATCATTTAATTATCAAAAACGTTGTATTCTATAGGCAAACCATTTAACTCGCGGGACGCCTGCGGGGCTAGAGGTAGGTGGGCGCGGAGGAACTCACAGACGTTTCAGAGGTGAAGGCGCGCGCGCGCGGCAGGGAGCACAAGTGACGTTTCTCAGTACGCAAGCGGCTCTCGCGGCGTGCAGTCGGCTTTTTGGTTACGGACGCTCGGCACAAGATCTATGCGAGGTTATTTTTCCTGAGATATTTTCCAAGATGAACGCTGAAGGACGGTCCAAAATTTTTGCTAAAAAAATTAACAAGCAAGCTAAACAATTAGTATACAATGTTTATTCTTTCTTTCAACAAAGAAAAAGAAAAAATAGGATTTTTGTGAACTGGTCATCGTGTCTTGTAAGAAACTTTACCCTAGTAACAAGGTGTTTCAAATGACAGCAGTACAGTCGTCGGTCATGCTGTGAAGATATGCCGAGATGAAGCTTACACCTATGGTCATTTTGATGAAAAAGGACACTCATAAAAGACTGCACGAAAAAAGCCGATCCACCAAAATGCTGTACATGTTTGTATTTCAAGAAGCTGTGTTTGTGGCTATACAAAACAGGTGACACAGAATGCTCTGCTGAAAAGATTGCCGAAAATGTATATCACCTCTATATGTAGATTATGAGGCCGCCTAAGAACGTCTTTACTTTTAAATGACTTGTCTCGTGACCTTTTTATTTCTTATATTTCTAAAATATTATGAGCAAAAAATTAGATAATTTTGAGATTAAGATAAAATGCGAGGTTGAAGAGTGCAGTCAATATTTATCTTCTTATGCTAATCGCTTGCCTTTCTAACCGACGTGAAGCAACGCTTGCGTTGTGTTTCGTCGTGTGAGTGAGGGTACCGGAGGCCCTACCCCTCCCTATTCCCTTCCCTCTACCCCTCAACCCTTCCCTCTAAGGCCGGCAGCGCGCTTGTAGCCCCTCCGGGGTTGCAGGTGTCCATGGGCGACGGTTATCACTTACCATCAGGTGATCCGTCTGCTCGTCTGCCCCCTATCCCATAAAAATATATATATACGTAGTTATTCATAAGAATTATGACAATTTTAGTACTTTTCGACTGAGAATTGGTATTAACTGTGACGTTATTGTTTAAACAGTGTTGGTTAACTAAATATAATAATTTACCAACTATACCAAGCTACAAATACAGTAGCAAAGTAAACTACAAACAAAACGGCGAGGTATTCACTTATGTTAAAAACATATACATATATAACATATATACACATATATATATATATAATATATATATATATATATATATATATATATATATATGTATTAATTGATGACATAAAAATAATATCCGATAAGAGGCTAACGATTCCGAGGCCTCGGACTACTTAAATTTATGCTCCTTTCATGGTATACTCTCCTTACACATCATAGCGGCTCTCTGGATCACATCATGTTAAAATCCGCATTCACATCCAAAACACTAGTTATCGATATATGTAACATATAAAAGATATCGGAACTATTACAATTATCTACTTAAGAGAATGAAAAATAGTTACAAAAAGAAAAAAGAATTGGAAAAAGCTGGAACAAATAGTAAAAAACCTTGGAAACATATTAGGTCCTTACATATGAAATTGGTGTTTGGTATGGGAGGAACAAAAAGTCGAATATTTTTTAATATAATAAGTATATTTATTTAATCAAAGTATAGACCATTGTTATCTATGCACTTTTGCCATCTCATAGGTAGTTTGATCCCCTTACTAAAAAACGAGGACGAGAATCAATAAAATCTTTGAAAGCGATTTGCACTGCCCCATCGGAGTCGATTTTTTCCCTTGCAAGAAGTTATCCAAATTGCAAAAAAAAAGCAGTGGCGTAGAGCGATTGACCAGCCTCGGTTGTTTGACAGCTTGTTTTTCCAGAATGGTTTGCAATTGCTAAATATAGACGTCTGCCGTAATAGTCTAGCCAGATTTGAGAAAATTGTAATGAATGACACCGGCACTAGTCCACCAAACGCTAAGAAGTAACTTTTTTGTGCTGTTTTCTTTTGCGACACAACCGCAATACATATCATCAACCCTTTGAGCCGCTTCCGCAGCATCGAATACACTGATATCCCTGAATTGGAACTTCAATTAAATAATCCCTTTATTACCTTTTGTAGATATATTTTGATAATTTTTATGTTATCAAAATAATAGGTTAGTTTCTTCGCATTTTGTATGAAATTTTCAAACATTTTTTAATAATGTTTATTTACATTTTAATAAAGTATGTAGGTACTGTTTTGTTCGATAAGATTTTGCTATCTTATAGGTAGTGACATGATCCCATAGCTATAGAAATTTTGGGGCTTCTGATCAAAAAAGCGCGACAAGTGATTTTGGCAGTCCTCGCATGATGTTAACCTCACACTGCCTAAAGAATCTGAGTAGACCGAACCAGGTGTAAATCTGAAGGTGCAAGGTCAGGACTATACGGCGGATATATTAACACTTTTCTGCCAAACTTAAAATTTTTGCTGAGTGGCAAAAGATGTGTGAGGTCTGACGTTACCATGATGAACAACCACACGCCTTCTTTTGATTAATTCTTGTCGCTTTCTCTCAAATTCTTGCTTTGATCTCATCAGTAGAGTTCAGAATCAAAGGTCCTGCCAGGCGGTAACAGCACATAATGAATAATGCCGTTCCGATCCCACTATACACACAGCATCACCCTGTTGCGAGTTAATCCGGGTTTCGCCACGGTTTGTGAAGCCTGACCGACCTTTGACCAAGACCTTTTTTCACATATTCTTGTTGTACGTGATCCACTTTTCATCACCAGTTACCAGCTTCTTCAAAAAAGGTTCGGTTTCATTTCGCCATGATAAAGAATCACAAATGAGTACACGATTAATTAGGTTTCATTAGGTTAGTGAGCTCGTGATGTATCCAAATATCCAACTTTTTTGTGTACCCAGCTTTCTCAAAAGCGCCAAAAATGACATCCATTTCCGTAACAGGGCGGCCGGGGCGACGTGCATCTTTGACATCACAATTTCCGGACAGAAAACGTTTAAACCAAAGGTCATTGGACAGCATAGTATGAAATCTATACCCACGGCCTACAGAAAAAACATTTTTATCGGTTTCTTGTCAGTGACAATGATTTAAAAAATAAAGTAATCCTATTAATATCCTATTAATCCTATTAATATTATAAATGTGAAAGTTTCTTTGTTTGGATGTTTAGATGTTTGGATGTTTGTACGTCAATCACGCCGAAACTACTGAACAGATTGTTATGATATTATTTGGTATACAGATAGGGTATTAGCAGACTTAGATAATAGGATACTTTTTATTCCACTAAACATATCCCTAGAGTCACGCGGGCGAAGCCGCTGGCGAAAGCTAGTTAAAAATAAAACAAATAGGTAAAGAAAATCTTTTAAGTTTTATTCAACATGATCAAGTTCTACAGGTAATAATTGTGTCATCTAAAAACTCGGCAGGCGCATCTATTTGCTCTTGATGCCTGGCCCAAGATAAAAAATATACTATGCTGGCTATATACGCGCAGCATCCAATGGTGCGACGACCATGAATACAAGAGCAGTAGTAACCGTCGATAC